GGTAGTCATATTATAATACTGAACCGATGTACTTGGATTAAAAATAATTTATTTAAGTATATTGTATTTAATTGTAAAATTGTGATAAAAACCTAGTTTAAACGTGATGTAAACAGTTCTATGAGCAATTAATCTATGAATAAATGAGAAATTTATGGAAATTATTATTATTGGATGGTGAACCGGTCTTACGGTAATTTTCCGGTGTAACAGGCGATTATTACCCCCCCAACATTTTTACCGGGGGGGTAATAATCGCCTACAGTAATAGGCGATTATTACCTGCCACCACAATTTTTTACTGGGGGGTATTAATCGCCTGCGGTAATAATCGCCTGAGTTAATAATCGCCTACAGCAACTGGCAATTATTACCTGCCCCCACAATATTTTACTGGGGGGTATTAATCGCCTGCGGTAATAATCGCCTACAGTAACAGGCGATTATTACCCCCCTTAAGGGTGCGACAAATTTAATAACGCGGACACGAATGTTCGAATCGGTGAATCTAGGAAAAACATCTTAATGTAAAAAAAGATCGTCAAATGTATTTTACTTTAAAATTCCAAATATTTTAAGTCAAATGTTAAGTTAAATAAGTAAATAATAATAAAAATAAATCATAGATATAGAATAATATATGCTATTACTATTAAAAAAATTGGTAAACCTCTTTCCCTAATTAAATATTTTCCTCATAATTTTTTAAGTTTATTCTGTAATTTGACATATATTTTTATTGTATTTTTTTAATAAACTCTGAAATGTACACAGGCTTTAGACAATAAACTCTAAATTTAAATCTATAATTGGTTTGAATTTTCGTTATTTTTAGATACGGATAATCATTGTTTTTGAGGGCCTTCCCAAAACAATGTATATGAACGTATACAGAATGTATATTAGATATATTATACATTTTTCTACTTAATTTACAAATTATAACAACTATTATAACATTTGAAACATACTATATCATGTAATATAATTACTTTGCCACTAGTTTAATTTAATTTATTTCATTTAGCGTTATCTACGAAACTATAACGAATGCCTGTATATTTTATTATATGTTTGGATATATAATATATAACATGTGTGTATACTGTCCAAGTATTTTATGCATAAAATGTTATTCAATTTTCTGAATTAATAGAGTAATGCTTCTAATGCCAATGACGCTTAAACGTATCACAGTATAAATAACGCGACGCTGCGGTATAACTGCCAATATCACGGGCGGCGTTGAAAGTGTTAAAAATATTTTAATAAAATATTTAACAGCAATTATTTTAATAACTTTTAGCCAAAATTAACGTTTTTCAACTTGTCGTTTATTGCTGTGTCATTTTTTTACCAGTCGATTTTTACTGATTACCGAATCACTCCATGTGTTTCTTATTAACAGTTAATTACTTTCACCTCTATTCAATATGCCTATATATATATTATTTATAATAATATTATCATGACAAGAAAACTAAAACTAATAATACTACAATAGGTATCTGTTTTTCAAAAACAAACGAGTAAATATAAACATAAGCATAAAAAGTAGGTCATGAGGAGGTTATTAGTATATGACACCTTCGTCATTCCCCCGGGGGCTCAACCTTAAGGGGGGTAATAATCGCCTGTTACTGTAGGCGATTATTACCTCAGGCGATTAATACCCCCCCCCCGGTAAAAAATTGTGAGGGGGGTAATAATCGCCTGTTACTGTAGGCGATTATTACCTCAGGCGATTATTACCTCCCTCCCCGGTAATAATATAGGGGGTAATAATCGCCTGTGACACCGGGCCGATGTTAAGCCGATCCGCCGCTGGTAACAACTTTGTACTGTTCTTTTAATAATTCATAGCTATAAATGCTATTGCAGTAATAATATACAAAATGTTTAATGTAATAAAAATAATGACTTTTGATTTAAATATACCTTTATGCATATTTTTTTTCTCTAAATAATTTTAAATTACATTTAAGAATTTAGTGTTTAATAATAGATAGGTAAATCATTTTAATGTAGAACAAAAATGCATACAAATTATCAATGAAAGACTGAAACTAGTTTTTCTTTTACTGACTGCCATTGGTTTGTCTTAATTTTGAATTTTAGTTCAACGCCACTTACATTCAGCTATTAAAAAATAATAATGTTAGAGTTACCATGTTTACTTGTATTTTATTGTTGTAAGTATAATTACATTCCTTTCAGCTGCTGAATACTGCGAAGTTATGTTTAATTTTATCGAAAAGTAGTAATTATTTTATTCGAACAATAAATATAACTGAACCAATTAGTAAGTTATGGTTAAATTTTCAAATCAAAGAGAGACATTATTTTTAGTCAAGTTTAAAATGTATTAATGTACTTATATTTTTTTTTCCAGATTTGATTTGTTTGTTTCTGTAATATAAAAATATAAATTTAAAAAGTCTCAACTGACAAATATTTTAGTGCTTTGTAAAAAAAAAAACATCAAAGTATATAAGAATAAGTAATTATATTTGTAAGTTTTTTTTTGTTTCCTTCATTGGTCATTTAATGTATTATTATATACAAATTAATTTTATATTACATTATGCTAGTTAGTTCATATTAATGATAAAGCTCTTGAGCCTCCAGCGGATCCAGAATTCTGTATAAAAATTTAAATAAATATATATGCATAAATAAAATTAAATATTAATTAGCTGGAAGATATTCCGTAAAAAACAAATGTATGCAAACAAATAAATCATTTTATTATGAATTAATTATGTTTTAATTTTTATGATGTCTTGAAGTATTGATATAATATATAAAAACATATTTAATTTTCTTTAGAGTATACTACATAGAAATATAACAAAATTATATTAATTTTTATGTAATAAATATTTAAATTTGATCTATTAAGAATTTTTAATGATATGTTTTTATAATAAACTAGCTGACCCAACAAACGTTGTTTTGTCATATAAATTATTTCTAGAGAATATTTTGATAGAAAAAAATAACTAATTCAATATAGGCATGTAAGAATGTGGGTAAGGATAAGGATGTAAGGAAGAGATATGGAGTGCTATGAATGGTGACGAAATATAAAAATGAAAAAACATCAAACATTTATTTTTTTAATAATTTATTAAAATTGATCCATTAAAATTATATATATCGCTAATTATGACAATATTAGTAAAAACAATATCTATCCCTTAATGCAACAGAGTGTACAATATTTTTTGTTATCCCATCTTTCGCCAACACAAACTGGATGGCTCGAGAGCACACCTCGTATAATTATCCGTGTGAAAAATATGATGTGCTCAAATCTAAGCTACAGACATTGTTTGGCTTTGAAACTTATTGATAGTCATTCCAAATGCCAATCTAATTGGAAATTTAAGGCGTTTAAATTGTATTGGTACATCTGTGGGTATAATAGAGATTCGCGGTAATAATATATTTTCACTTCGGAATTTGCCATTTAAAATTATGGCTTCGATAACATTTTTCATTAATTTTTTAACAACTTATCGCGTGTCGTTGTATAACCGTGGTAGGTCAAATTATGAAGCAAAATAACCGGAGAACAAACCTTCAATTGTAAATTATGCGGTGGCATGCCTGATAAGTCCAATGAGTTTAAAAACTCTGTTAGATAATTTACAGTTTCAGTAGTATAGCAAACTATATCTATAGATTTGTATGACACCATGTCTCCTGGTAATAAATGTTTATCTTGAGATTCAATTCGTTGATGTCCACATTTTTTACTAATAAAATTGCTCTTTCTGCCAGCCACTCATGATTTGTGTGTTGTCTGTGTACATTGGAAAATATCTAGTCAATGAGAGCATCTTGCGAATAAATGATTGTGCAAAAATTGGTCGGTAATTTTATACATTCCGTTTCATCTGTAGTAACTTTCCCATCTCCAATATCTAACAATTGTTTTAAGAATCTTTTGCACGCAGCTTTTTTTGATTAAATTGCAAGTATCAAAATTGTTCGCTCTCTATCTTTACATACATTTCGACCATGAATTGTTGACGAAGCTCATGATATCGTAGAATAATTTTGTCCTGATCGCGTTTAATCATCAACCGATATGCATAATAATTTTTCGAACTAACATTCTTATTTGTTTTGACACCTGTTGCGGGATCTTTTTTTGTTTAATATTTATGCAATATCGGTCATTTACTACCAAAAATAAAATTAATATTTTTTAAATAGTTTTTTAATAGTTTTATTTAATAATTCATTTTCAATTGTGCAGTTATCGACCAAGTCAAAAATTATTAAATTAAACTATGATTTATTAAACAATAGCACTTTTCCAAAAAAAATTCTCGTAAAAACCTTCTCCTGGCAATTACAAACAATTAAAAAAAAATTGAGCTAAATCGGCCCAGCCGTTCTCAATTGATGAAATGTTATACATTTTTGGCTCCATTTATATATATAGATAACTAATAACTAATTATTTATTAACTTTATTGGACTAAATTTACGCCTAAAACCTTCTCTGTGATGTCCTCTTTAATTTAAAAAAACTGCACGACGATCCAATAAGTAGTTTCAGAGTTAATCCCGAACAAAAAAAAAGCGACTTCATTTTATATAGTAGTATAGATTTTGAATTTAGAAAATTAAAATTTATTATAAATAAATAATTATTATATATACACAATTCTGATAATATCTTATTAATAAGAAAAATATTCATAAATATAAACAAAGATATTAGGTAATTAATAATTACACACACATTAAAATAATTAACTACTGAAAAAACAATCATTTGATCAAATTTGAAAAAATTTATAATTTCAAATAAATTAAAAAAGTTAGTAATTTATTCATATATATTGCACAATTTTTTTCAGTAGTAATAAGCATTTTATAGTTAATACAAATATACCTTATTTAAATATTTAAAAAAATATACTTTAAAACTGTCTAAAATATGATTTAAAAGTTCACAAATGATTTTAAAAATATATATGAAAATTGTGATGTATCAGTTACTTAATTTAAACTATGTTTTTAGAGTTTATTCTTTAACATTTTTTGTTCCAAATAATTAGCAACAGCATTTTGGAAATCTTCTGAATAAAACCTTTCTATCAGTGTTTCATGTTCTCTATCATTGGCTTTGTGTAGATCATCTTTAGTAATTATACCATTAAACATCATAGATTTGGTGCACATTAAAGGCTAGAAAATTTAAAAACAATTGAAATATATTTGTAATGCAAAATATTATTTTTAAATGAGTAGGAAATAATATTAACTTTTTTATATACAACTATTGTAGTTTTGATTTTTTTAATTAATTGATCCCTTCCAGAAATTCCATCATCAACTAATGCATTGACTAAACCAAAATCTTTTGCTCTAATGGCAGATAATGTTTCACCTGAATATAGAAATTCAGCAGCCTTGAAAATAAATACAATTATATAATATACATTTATGTTGTAAAAGTATTTATATTTCGAAAGCAATTATTTTACCCTCATTTTGCCCATTATTAATGGAAATGTAATGGTTGAACATCCTTCAGCAGTAAGACCCAATTTATGAAAAGGACATGAGAATGTTGCCTGATTTAAGCAATATATTTTTAGTAACCCATCACGTTTTATAATTTAGTAACTTACTGTTTTTGTTGCATATACGAGATCACAAAGTCCCAATGTTGTACAAGCGATTCCAATTGCTGGTCCATTCACTAGTGCTACCAACAACTTAGGATAATCTATGAATGCTCTTACAAAATCTCTACAAAATTATTTTAAAATAGATTTATTTAAAAAATGTATTGTTCATGTATTAGTGGTATTATTTACTTACCGAGTAGCACTTAACCGTTCTTCAAAACCTACATCTGATTCATCAAACAAGTCAGTGCCGCTACTGTATGTTCTACCAATACCAGTAAATATGGTAAACAAAACCGATTCATTTGCAGCTCCTTCCTGGAGAGCTTTGATTACTTCTTTATAACACTGTAAATTTAAAAAAAAATCAAAATATAATTTATATACAGCACATTAAACAATGAACATATTAGTCCATACAAAATTACTTGAAATGAAATGGCATTTAATCTTTTTGGACGGTTAAATGCAATAATCTGAGCGGAATCTTCATAGGTCACTATTATTGTTGACATAATGAACACGAAATTAAAAAGCCAGCATCCGTCAACTTTACAATTATAGAATTTTCAACAAGATCAAACGTCGATAATGGAAAGGATGGATTATTTTAATTTTCTCTTGACACCTTTAGAACACATGCACAGAATGACACATAGACTTACTTTGTAGTCGGTTGAATGTCGTATAATTGAAATGCAATTGTAATAGTCAGTGATCACAATGTAGATTAATCGCTGCATATGAATTATTTATATTACCCTCTCCTAACCTATTCGATGTTTTACGCATGGATCGTCGGGTTGCAATAGTATTGATATCGTTTGTTCCGTCAAGAATAAAAAAACGGAATATTTGAAATACAAACGTTTTGTTTATCTGCGAACATGATAAAATGCGAGCAACGTGGAGAACGGGCTTCTCGGCCAAACGTGGTGGACTCACATACCCGATAAATAAAATTGTCATCGCTAACAGGAAATAAGTATTATGTAACGTGACGAGACGATAAAAATCGGACTTAAATAGTACCTGAACGAGCGTTTCACGATAACCGGACAAATATCCAAAGTCAGAAGAGATAAAATTAAACGTAATACGTGTTATATACCTACTACTTTATTGTAGTAATAATTAAATGCGTGAATTGATCCATTGCAACATTAAAATTGAGGACTTCATAATAATTTTATATGTATCAATATATAATTTATTTTATGATACTATTACGATGTAGATATGTTATCTATGTCCTGAATGCATATAATCATAGCGTACATTGTTAGAGAACCCACTGAAAATACTGTTCTACGATTGGCTCTAATCCCAATGCGATAACGATTTCTCTATCAATTATCTGTTATCAGTTATCAAATTTGATAAATTACGAAAATTATCAGTTACCAAATTTCTGAATTTTGAATGTTTTAAAAACCTTATAATACTACTTTAAAAATTACTTACATTTGAAGTTTGACAAAATGATATTTCCAAAAAAATATGAAAATAAAATTGTTAGGGAAATTGGGAATACCATCAACATCAGATCAAATATATCTTGTATGGAAGATATAAACAATTAGGTTTCAGAATTTGGGGAGTTGAAAATTTAAGTCATTGAAACTATCGCTCCAGTATTCCAAAAGGCCAACGAATTCTCGTAAGTTATTTTACAGTTATTATAAATAACAAATATTATAATAAGTACCTATTAAAATTAATTTATATTTTTTTTTAGTAAAAAATTTGTATGTCAACACAGTAATTTTAAAAAGCCCAATATAAATAAAAAAAGATTATCCAAAAATGCAAATTGCCCAGCTACAATTGATGTAACAATAAAACTTAATACTACTGCAACTAAAAAAAAAAAGATCCATTTATAAAGGTAGTATAAGCAATATATATATGTGTATATTTGGCTGGTATATTTAATGTTTTTGTGTTTTAGGAATTTTATTAGAGTTGGTGATTTGTTGTGCTATTACATGTTTATATAAATATAATATATACTTATATTATATGTTTTTATGCAGATATGTACATTAATTTGTCAAACTTTGACTTTAAATAGTCTTTAATTGTCAACTGGGTAGGTGACCAAAACAACAATTTATATGTTTGTAGTTTTTATTTATAAATTATAATGTACATTTTAGCAGGAAATCAGCTGAGAACTCATTTAATGGTGTACATCCATCAGGGAAACTAGTATTTATGTTATAATATAACAATATATAATATTATGTTACTTTTTATTGCTTTTACTTTTACAGCTTATAATTACAAGGTTCAAGTGGTGCTATGATCTGACTCCAAAATTACTGATATCAAGATTGTGAGTGGTGTTACGGTTATGAAAAGTCTCTGAATGTCTCAAATATTCCTACTTTCTGTCTAGCACTTGTCTTGATCTCCCTTTTATATGATTATTATAAAGAGTGGGTGGCGACTATTGTATGAAGGGTCTTGAAAATGTGGTTATGTGTTCTTGTTGATTCTTATAGATGAGACATTGAGATTCAATTTATTTTTTTAAACTATTATAAGTCATTCTACGCTCTTTGTCTTGTCCTAGCATGTTTGTGCCAATACATTTTATTCATTAATATAATTTTATTTTAATTATTTCCATAACAGTACACAATTGAATTTTGTTTTAATATACTTTTCTAAATAGATAATGTAAAAATGACTATAGATTAGTTATAAACTAAATAAAGTTAATAAACTTTCAATATTTAAAATGACATTACACATAAATTATTGTTTCTTATTGATAAATTAAAACTCAAATTAATTCTTACAGAAAGGTTTAATGAGTTGTATAAAAATTTATAACAACCATACACATAGCATAACACAGCAGAAAGCCTTAGATATTTACCAGCTAATAATGATGTAAAAAACTTATTTTATGAGTATTTTGACAATGGTATGGGCATAACTGAAGTTCAAAAATATCACGAACAGTTGTAAGAGTTGAAAGAAGATTTTAAACTAGAAACATTAGCTTATGGTTGCATCAATCCATGTTACCGTATTATTCATTGGCATGACATTTGGAGAAATTTAAATTTGGGTCCAGGTACTGGTGATGGATTAATCGAAGTAAGTTATTTAAACATATAATAAATTAATAAATTTATCATCGATAATTAATATACATATATTTTTTTAGAAAATCAAAGAAAAACAGAAGGTATATGAAGAAAGTGGTACTATAGTTCTATTTAAAGAAAACCCAATTAGTATAATTATAATTAAGCCAATGATGAAAAGAGCTCACAAGTTAAATTTTGCAAAATAAATTATATTTGTTGATAGCACCAATGCATGTGATCCATTAAATCATGCCATAATTTTTATAATGTGCCCAAGTACAACTGGGGCTATACCTCTGGCAATAATTGTTACCAAAGGTCAAACTTTTGAATCTTATTGTCAAGGATTTTCATTATTAAAAGAAGCTCTTCCTAAAAGCTTTTGTGGACAAGGATTTCCTAATATTTTTATTACAGACCAAAGTTCAGCAGAAATTAATGCAATTAACTATATTTTGCCAAATAGTTCTACATTACTTTGTGTATTTCATGTTCTTCAGGCTGTTTAGTGTTGGTTATGGGATTCAAAACATAATATACTATTGGAAAAACGTAAAGTACTTATGAAAGAATTTCTAACTATAATTCTAATTCATTTGTTGATACAGAACATGCATATTTAAAGTCAATTTGAGAAAATCTTGACTATCCAAATTGGATTAAATATGTACAAAATTATTGGAGTTATAGACAAAAATGGTGTTTATGTTTTAGAGATCATACATCAAGAGGTCATGTTACAAATAACTATTGTGAGGTTGCTGTAAGACTGTTTAAAGATCATGTTTTAAGTAGGGTAAAGGCTTATAATGTTTTAGCTCTTATTGATTTAACATGCACTGCCTTAGAAAACTATTATAAACATAGATTGAGAGAATTTTCAGACAGTAGAAATGCATTGTCCAGATTATTTCTACAAAAAAGATTAACATATATAAGTTATATTAGGCCCTATTATTTGTACAATTTCGGACTGCACACTTGATTTTACTGCTTTAAATGAAAATTTAGTCTCGCTACTGTCTTTGAAAAAGAAATATATTACATACATAATATATATATATGCATTAAATTTTAAAAAATTCAATAATACTCATATTTCCTAGTAGTTGACTTATTATTTAATTTTTGTTTTGTAGACCGTAGTGCACACACGTAAAAACCGTAGTGCACACTTGTACATTCGTGGTGCGCATAAAAATAGGGCCCGAGTTATATTATTTGTTGATATGATTAAGTTAATGATTAAGTTATATATTAGCAGTCATACAGTAAGGTTGTGCGTGTTCTCTTTCTGATTTGTTTATCGGTAATTATACGTTTATTATCATTATTTGTATATTATTATTATATGTTAATCGGCATTTCGTTTTCAACTACTTAATATTATTTCAACAAGTCCAAAATTGCTACATTTGCACTCAAGCATTTGCTGATCTTGATTCACCCATTAATTGTGATGGCTGCAGTTTAATTTTTCACACTAAGGCTTCTTTCACACGAAGCCACCAGAGCAGCGCCACCATGGTCGCGCCACCACAAATTATTAATAACTAAATTAAGGTTTTCACATTTGGTCGCGCCACTCTTATCAGTTCATGCCACCAAATATGCTAAACGCGCGACCAAAATAGTCGCGCCACCAGTTAAATTTATATTGTTCTGATGTAAAAACGCGCATTCTATTCATTCGATCGACTGCCACCAATACGTTTGTACGTTATTTTTGACATTGTCATTCCCTCATATTTGTTTGTTAACCCGTTAAATCTTGCTGCAGAAGTTCCAGTAATTCATCAAAGGACTTAATTGACATTCTTCTAAATAATTAAAAAATTTATCTTTATACTTCCTCAAATCTATATAGAATAAATTAAATAATCCTTTAGTAGAACGGTCAGATAGTAGTGGGTGCACCCAAAACTTCCTTTTTTTTTTTCGTTTACGTAAAACTTTACTGCACAGGTATGCCACACATGCTAGGTTAGCTCTTCGACTTCCATTTTGATACTGTACTAAATTTTAATTTAATTTCATGACGTGATAAACACATCTGGAAGCATGAAGAGTGGCGATACTTTTCTGGTGGCGCGACCATGGTGACGCTGCTCTGGTAGCTTCGTGTGAAAGAGGCCTAAGTGTGCGGGACTATCAGCGAGCGAAATTAAATGTTTATCTCTAAAAAATCGTAAACTAAAATTTTTCTGTGAATCTTGCTACAAACGGTTGCGTGATATTCCTGAGTTGAAAGCTTTATTAAATCGTTTACCAGTTGAAGTTAACGAACTTAAGAATTTAAAGAAAAATAATAATAAAAATGAATTACATTGTTCCGAAGAGGTTATTATTAATGAGGTAGCCGAGCGAAATATTCGTGCTTCTAATCTATTATTTTACAATATTCCAGAGTCCTACTTTGATAACATTAATGATAAATAACTTTAAAACAGTTCACATCAAATCGATAGCAATCAAACCAGTATGAAAATTAAAATAGATTGAACATCGTAGTATTAATATGTAAAAATTATATGTGTTATATAATTAATACATTAATTTATAATGTATACACCTAATTAATTATACACAATCTGTTTTATTACTCATAGTGCTATATTTTTCATGAAGACCTTTAAAAAAATAAATATATATTTCAAATAATTATAGATAGTTTTATTATTTAGATCTTAAGAGGACGTCGTACCGGTCGTTTTCAGCGGTAAAAACACGTCCACGGAAAACAAATAAAACACCACCAAAAAGTGGTTTTAGAGTAAAAATACTTATTATGAAACTTATAGAGAACAATATTTTGGAGGCAATCTCATCGGTGTTTTTTGAAATATTAACTATTAAAAAAGTTACAGTTATTTAAAAAATTTAAAAAAAAAAGGGTTTTTGTATCTTTAATAACTAGCTGCGTATTTAGATTAATACAAAACCCCGATGAGGTTGCCTCCGAAATATTCTTCTCTATAAAATTTATTATAGGTGTTTTTACTCTGAGACCACTTTTTAATGACTTTTCATTTGTTTTACGTAAACATGTTTACAGCATTTGATTTAATTAACTGCGAAAAAAAAATAAGTATCTAGATACACCTAACGGCTAATTATTGTTATTTTAAATTATAAAATAAAAAAATAGGTACATGTTTTTGCTTAATTATTGATATCTTAAAAGGTTTTAAAATGATTATATAATGCATAAAATATGATAAATAATGCATATATGATATATACAAATAAGAACAACGAGCTATCATACAAAAATGTCACCTATAACAAAACAGAATACGCAACACGTTTGTTATACACATGTATTCCTACCTATTTAATTTGAATGAATTTATTATTCCATAATATGTATTAAAACGTAATTGGGATATAAATGTAAATCAAGTTGTGTTCTATAACGTTTGTTGTGCTTTGTTCATTGGTACACATATTAAAGTTAATAGGAGCTTAAATCAGTAGGTTTTGAGCGCGACGCATGCATAGAAATATACAGGCGACTTAGTAGCGCCTATCATAAGTTTTTTTTTTCATTTAAGAGGACAATACACAACCATTTTTGGAGTTTAAAAACATGTTTTGGGCGAAGCACTCTCATTTGGGCTACAGTAATCGTACAAAAACCAAACTTTACCAAGATAAAGATAGTAATATTATCTGTGTTTTTATGTGGGCTTTTCGGGATATCGTTGAAACTCTCGTGTATATACACTGTTAAAATATTAAGTTTTTTATAGTTTTTTGAAGCTTATAAAATACAATTGAATAGACGTACACGTTAAAGCCCACATACAAACATAAAAAATATTCTCATCTTAACGTTGTCGAAATTTGGATACTATACGAATAGTGAAAATAGTTTAAATACATTAGTATATAATAATTAACTAACCACTATTATTAGTCTAATATTTAGTGAATTTTTATTTTATTGTTTATGAAAAAAGTACGAAATATGTGGTATGTGGTATCATGCACGTATCCAGGATCAATTTTCGGGGGGGGGGGGGTTAAATATTTTTAATACATGAACTAAAAATACATATAACATAATATATAGGTATAATATATAAGTACATCATTTGTCATTTTCTAAAACAGATAACGTGTAATAATTAGAGGGAAATTTACAAATACTTAAAATAAACTAGTTGTACAATTATACAATTATACATAAAGACGTGTTTCGTTAGTTTTTGTTATATTATAAATATATACCTACTTTAAAAATTTCGGGTGGGGGGGGGGTTTGAACCCCTAAAACCCCTCCCTGTATACGGGCCTGTGTGGTATGATTTGTAATATTTTTACTTAAAACATTGTACAGGTATGTAGAGCAATGAGAAGTTAGGTACATTCAAATATTGTTTATTTGGATTATGACTTTATTTGAATACCTGTTTTTTACGTGAACTGTGAGGTTAACAATTTTTTGTGAAAAAAAACGTAAAATCATTTAATAGTTTCGTTAAAAAACAATGTGTATCCTTTTTTTCCATAAAAAAAAAGGAAAAAAAGAA